GTTTTTTTGGTATCACCGGTGAAACTCCATTGATATGTGGAACTTGAGATGTTTTCGGAGGGAGTGGATTTTGAACTCCCAAAATGGCTAGGAACATATTTTCGGCGAATTGTCGAGCATATTTTCCCCATTGTGATCGCTCATTCGGTCCGGGCGGGCTTGTTCATTGGGAACGTTATTTCTTGCCTTTTTATTGTTATTCGATACTGCCTGTTATTTTCCTTTTTTGAGTGCCCTGATGTGGTCATGTATAGTAGGTGGTTGAGTGGGTGATGTGGTTAGGTGTTTGTGGGGCGATCTAAAGGGGAGGTGGATTTGGGAGGAGGTAGCGAGACGGAGGGAAGGATAGTGACTGAGGTGAGATGTGTAGATGGAGTGGTATGGATAGAATGTGTTGATGGAAATATACCCTACCCGGGGATCGAACCCGGAATCTCCACCTTAGGAGGGTGGCGCCTTATCCATTGGGCCAGCAGGGCGATGGATCTTGGAAGGTCATCATATGTTCGTGTTGTGTAGGATGAAGAGAAATATGCGTCAACGGCATCCCATGGTGGAGGCGTTAGCGCTATGAAGCGTAGCAAGTTGAAGCCGACTTTCAACAGAACAGGGAAGCGTTATGAAGGTAAACTTCGTATTACACCTTATTTCAACTATAGCATTTACAAGTGGATTGTCGTTGCGCGTGTGCTTGGCTAAATTGAGCTCCTAAACTTTCAAATATTTTTGGTATTTCATCGAAACGATGGGAAAAAATTGAAAAATTTTCGGAAAAATATTTATTCGATAAGGAAAGATTTGTTTGTAGGGGAAAGAAAGCGCCGAGCGAGAGGCACGCTGAGCTCGGAAGTCTGCGAGAAGCTTCCGCTGGAGTACCTACTTTACCTCCTGAGGAGGGCGGCGGGGTCGCGAGAGAAAACGGAAATGTTTATCTGTTCGTTGAGTGCGAAAACTGTGACGTATAAAGGTGGGGTTGGGAGGCGATGATGGTGTGGTATTGATAGAAATTAGTAGTCGGTGAGCCGTGTTGATAGTAGTTGATCTTAGTGTTGATAGTATTAGTCTTGTTCCGATGAGATGTGTTGATAGTAGTCGATCTTATGTGAACTATTCACTATTCTTGTTCCGATGAGATATGATGTTGATAGTAGTTGAAGTCATTAAAGTTAATAAGTAGTGTATTTCCGATCCGCGATATTATGTGTGAGTAGAAGTCTTAGAGTTTATCGGTGATTTTTAACTGTAATAGGAAGACGTATTATGCATTAGTATTTTGGTTATCCATGTTGCGGCTTCGATCCCTGCCAGGAGCTTTTTTCAGTACATTTATTGTGTTTCTCCACACTGGAGTTTCACCACCCTTTTTACACGAAATGACGTAAAACTCGGTGTAAAACGCGATATTCGCGGTGATGTGAAAATATATTTTTCATATCACTAGGGTTGTGAAACTATATTAATTCTGGTTTCTTGTAAGGTCAATTGACATGCTCGCAGCTGTTTGAGTACTATAAGGACCTCAACGATCCTGGCCTGACGACCCATCTTGCTATGGTCCACTCAAGGTTCAGGTGAGAAGAATATTTGTATATTTATTTTTCGAATATTTTCTCAGAATACGCGGAGTGTAGTAAAATATGCATATGATCAAATTTGGTATGAAAATTTGAGGAAATTTCGCGAGATTCTCATGAGTTTCCATACAGTCTCGCGCCGGAATTCGTGGATGAGTGAGAAAATTCTTCTGAGCTCAGCAGCTGAGGAAAGCAAATATATATTCCTACTCCAACACTGTATAGGAAACTCTTCTGAGCTCAGCTGAGGAAAGCGATTACATATATTCCTACTCCAACACTGTATAGGAAACTCTTCTGAGCTCAGCAGTTGAGGGAAGCGATTACATATATTCCTACTCCAACACTGGGTCCGGGATGATGAGCATCTAGTCATCTGTAGGTTATGATTGTTATGGAGATGGTTGACGGCTTTACACTTTCACAGTATCTTCATAAACTGGCTAATCCACGTGGAAGTGAGTACTCGTTTTACGTGGCGTAATGCTCCACGTGCAAAACGCTATATGGAGCGAATTGATAATACTTGACGAATCACAACAACCAAACCACTCCATTTTACATGACCTTCTTTACGCATTATTCACACCTTGCATGCGATTAACGCGAAGTGGAATGTGAAGTATGCTTTCCGCAGTGTTTTTCATATCATGAATATATTTATATATTATTATGTGTGTTTGGTAAGATAATACATATAAGTTAATAAAAATGAACATGTAGAAATACACATATTAATCTTTTATTTCCATTAGAATATACCTATATCGGGTGAAACTTCGCAGTTGATAGCATGAGGTCAGATTTTTGGGGCGTTTTTACGCAGAAAATTCATCGTAAAATCAACTCCGATGGAGCTAGGGAAGAGATATTTAGTATTTGATAGCCGCAGTGACATGAGAGATACGCAAAAGAGACTTTTTCGCGCACGATTATGTATGTTCTTCTAATAGAGAGTATTGCACGCGTGCACAAAGTTTTCTGCTCAGGATTGAGATTGGAGAACAGCGATGAAGAGGAAGAGCCTCGGGTGCCAACGAAAATCATTTATCGTTGGTTAAGCCAAATTTTGGTGGCGCTGGTTGTGATGCATAAAAATAGAGTTATTCATCGGGACTTGAAAACTGATAACGTAATCGATTGACCCCGGGTTCGATCCCCGGTGAGTGAGTTTTTATAAAAGATATTAATCACGAGTGACCTGCAAATGGCTAAGGTTTGCGACTTTTCGGTTGCGAGGGTCATCGATGGAAAAGGAGGTTTATTGACTGGATATGT